ATTTCAAAGAAATGGGCTTCATTTTTTAAGCTTCTTATTACCCGCAGGAGTCCCACTGCCGTTAGCGCCTTTTTTAGTACTCCTTGAGCTAATCTCTTATTGTTTTCGCGCATTAAGCTTAGGAATACGTTTATTTGCTAATATGATGGCCGGTCATAGTTTAGTAAAGATTTTAAGTGGGTTCGCTTGGACTATGCTATGTATGAATGATCTTTTATATTTCATAGGAGATCTTGGTCCTTTTTTTATAGTTCTTGCATTAACCGGTCTGGAATTAGGTGTAGCTATATTACAAGCTTATGTTTTTACGATCTTAATCTGTATTTACTTGAATGATGCTATAAATCTCCATCAAACTGTATTGTCTTATGTCTGCTTTATTTTCTAATTGAACAAAAGCGAGTTGTAGAGGGTGAAAGAGCGAGAACTTCTTCTTCATTTTTAGCATTCCATCTTTCTATGAACGAACTGTGGCATTAACAAAGCATCAAGGGTAAAAGAAGACGGATAATTCACAATCGTATCGCCCCCTAAGACGAACCAAGAAGTTGATTTCAATGACGCGGATCTTTTGGATTGCAACATAAGCAGCACAGGGGATCTCAATTCCTTCTCTCAGGTGAAAGTAGGTACTACAAACAAAGTCTAATTCAACATCAAAGAAGGCCGAGGACGCATTTCTTTCTATGAATTGTCACAACTCCGCTCAACAGGTTAAGCCTGCCTGTCTGGTAGTATCTCTTCGGGATGCCCAGGCTCGGCTTACCTTCTGCAACTTTAATTGGATTGGGGACTGAGACTGCTACAAGAGGGAATGCCCCTACCGAAGAATGGAAAGATACAGCCCTATAACCTGGTTTTCAGCAGATCTATAATCTCCTGCCCCTCTTTCAACAAACTTGCTTGCTATCCCAGCGCGTCTATCCTTAGTTTTCGTGTCTAGTTTGCTTGCTCACTTCCAGAACTGATCTAAGACGAAAGAAAATCTCTGACTGGTCCTAGAGAATAACCTTACTGGCTTACAGGGCACTCTCCATGGCTAGAAGAGGGAAGGACAAGTGAAGGATGAATGGAAGCTAGCCCTGAAAGTATATGGGTGGCAACTAGCCCTCTTACTATATATGAGTAAGCAAATACTGGCCCTCGCTCGACCTATGATATAAGAGAATAAGCTAGTTTAAGATATGGGGTGAGCTCCTCCTACTGGCATCTTAATCCCTTCAGTTAGGCCCTTTCCCCTGATGGCTAGCTTGATAATGGTACAGCCCTTTAGCTCGTTAGGACGGGATAGTCTTCGTAGCACTAAACTAATAAGAATAGCCTCGTCAGATAGTTAACTCTTTACGCGAATAGACCTTTTTCTTTATCCTTTGCCCTAGAACCTTATCTCATTCTTTACACAAGAAATCTTCTTTGATTTGATGGAAGGTGGTTCAAGGATGGGCCAATCAAGCCCTTTTTGTTGCTGAAAGGTGAAAGGTTAGCTGTAGGCATCCACGGTGGTCTTCCTCTCTCCCGATGGTTTATATAGCTTTACTGACCTCTCCATCTCCCTTTTTGTTATTTGAATTGGAAAGTTGAAAAGAGGAAGGAAGATTCCATTAACGACGTCTCAAATGATGATAAAAGCTTGATGTCTTTCTATCACTGTCATAAGTGATGATGAAGATCAGGGTGATGAGGTTAACCCATTACCGAATAAGCATGAGACTATACTTGCCCCATATCTTAAACTAGACCTCCTTACGCCGGTTCAAATCACATAAGGGCAATAAGAGCGGACTGACGCGTCAGCTTCTAGGGCGCCTTTTCCTTAAGCATTTCTTGATCCATCTAAGGTCAGGGAAGATAGGGAAAAGAAAAACCGCTTTCTTATCAATTAGAAGGAAGAAAGAAGGAGCCGCTCGTCCCGGGAAACGAACGAAGTATGCTTTGGTGAGCGAGAAGCAGCCAGGTATAGGAGAAGGGGCGGTAGGACGGTAGGCTCAAAGGAGGCGGCTCTTTGCCTGTCTGGTCTACCTGATTGGGAGGTAGCTAGTCTATTCAATCAGCTAGCTATCCCATCCCTAACATTCAAGGTGGTTTGGTTGGTACTGGCTCAGTTTCACAGTGATCTTCTTTTTCCGCCTCACAGCAACCACCTTTCCTTTCTTTCTGGCTTGTAATGTTCTTTTACTTGATTGAATTAGCAGTGATAGGTTAGCTACTGGTAGATGGGAATCCTACTCCGACATCGGGTCTGGTTTTGTTTTCCGGACAGTCACTCTTCAGGCTAGATCCGATCCGCTGGTATCCAAGCCTTTGACAGCAGAAGGAAGATCACCACCATTCTCGGCAGTTTACTGACTTGGCAGTGACTCATTTCCTTGCTTCTTAGTTTGTCTAGGCAATCCTGTAACACGTGCAATCCTGTCTTTCACTAATGCCACTAGGCCCAATCTCCGGAACTTGGACTTGGCAGCAGGTAACAAGTCGGCTATCTGTCTTACTAATTTCTTTGTGTGTTCTTACAGTGATCCAATCAATCGGGAGTGGATGCCAGGCAAGGTAAGCATGCCACTAGCTTTCTGACTAAAAAGGGAGAATGGCGTTAACTTGAAGCAAGAATTCTTATCCAGCGAAGGTTCTCTTAATCAATTCTCTTTGAGGATTTGCCACCATCCATGAAGTAGCTGGTTCGATAGGGGACGACCAGGCTAACTCGAAGCCAAGGTAAGCTAATAGGAGAGGAAGATCCGCCAAGCGAGGAATTAGCCATATAAGACCTTTTTTTTGGTTTAAGGGCTGATGCTCCTCTGAACTCGACTCTCACACTGACTTGAGTAGATGGGAAGAAGATAGCTATTCCCCCTTCCTTTCTTTGTTCATGTCTTTCCAGCCGGGCGAGAGAATGGGTTGGTCTTCCTATAGATACTATAGGATAGGACTTTATATACTATACTATAGCCATGCGACGAGTGGTCCATTCCAGGCAAGAGAGTGCAGGTTAGTTCCCTTTTCTTCGTTTTTCCAGTTACGAGCGGTACAAAGGAGCCTGTTGGAGTCTTAAAGCAAGCCTATCTATCCTGATCCTGCAGTCCCTGTCTATCTCTTTCCATCTAAAATCTCCAGACTCTATCGAGCCAGCAGTAGCAGTCTCTTTTAAGGCAGCCATTGATTAAAGACATTGCCTCTCTTCGTAGTAGGGATTGGCAGGTTCATATTGTTCACGTGCTCAGAGAAGGTAACAGGTGTGCAGATTTTTTAGCTCGGATGGGTTCGTCTCAGCTAGAGCAGTTTATGCCGTGGGAGTCTCCTTCTCGGCTTCTTGTAAGCCCTTCTAGAGCGTCTGTGGCTAAAAGACTAGCAGCAGCTCCCGCTAAATTACGACAACAGCCCCTTCCATCTTCAATCCCTTCCCTCACAGCTCCTTCTCTGTGCGCACCGGTAATTCTTCAAACTCCCTTCGACTGCTAACTCTTAGCAATCTTCTTTCTTATATACTTGCAGTTCAGTTCCAAGCTAGCCAAGGGGCAATGATAAGATAAAGAACCGCTCCGCACCCTCCCTATGTGCAATGCAAGAAGTTCCTTGGCTTATAGAGGTCAATCAGTCTGCCATGTTCAGTCTAATTGCCCTACCTATAGATAGGTCTTAAAAACTCACTATTCCTAGTGTCAGAGCTAATCGACCTTAAATAAATAGTCAAGATCTTGCCCCTATGTCAGTTGGATTCGTGAAAAGAGAACAGCTCCTTCTTTGCATCAGTTACCTTGAAAGGCTTTGGCGCTTTTGTCAAAAAGTCCTAAGACCGGTAATGCCGTATGCTAAGATGCTAAGGCCAATAAATCCTTTAGGGCAATCAGTCTTTGACTCCCTTCCCCTTCTTGCCTAAGAATTCTTGCTTCAAGTTAACTTGCCTTGCTAATGGTTGGAAGTCTTAATGCTACTGTCCTTGGCTGCTGCTAGCTCCGCCACTGGGCCGACTTAAAACGGATGCCCTAGATCCCTCTCTATCCGGGTCCTAACCCTCCGCCGGAACTCCTGAAGAAAAGAAGGGCTAGAGAGATGGAACTACTGAAAGAGCTCCCTCTGCTTCTGGAACTGTAAAAGGGTTGAGGTCAATCACTTTTTAGATCATGGCTTGCCACCCTTAAGATCTACCCAATATCGGATTTTTTTCATACCTGGAGCAACTTTACCAAATCTGCCCCATTATGGAATGAGTCCCGCTGAGCACGAAGAACTGAGAAGGCAGGTGCAAGGGCTTTTAGAGAGAGGGCTTTACCGGATATGGCACATCACTGCTCGGAGAGGAATTAATTCTTCTCCAAATCATCTCTTCCTTTATTTAAGAAAGAAGTCAATTACGTTCGAGCTTTTTGTCAACTGATTCAACTCAAGCAATAGAAAGAAAAGCTATCTCCTCTAATCTCTAACTATGCTGAGTTCAATCAAGCTAAGAACTAGTCGACCTCCTTACTTCTTTACCGCTCCTTCCCCCCACCCTCAAGTCACGACCTAATGTCAGTTCTTTCAGTCCTTTTCGAGCTAGCATAGCTGCTGATATGGAATAGCCTGGAGCCTGGAAAAGCGAGGAATAGCAGGTTAGACAGCAAGGCTACTGTTCGAAAAGAAGCTGCACATTCATACGGTGTTATGAGGAATACGGGCTTAGCAGCTAATCTTTTATCTGTCTAAAAAAGGCTCCAGAAGGCATCTCCGGGGGAGCAGCAAGATGAGCTGTGTCTGACTGTCGACGAGAGTTTGCATTCTGACGCTTTCAAGAGTCTGCAATTATGTGACCCAGCTTCTTTAGGCATACCTGGTGTGAAGCCTATGACTGGTTGCCCTGATCTCATTTCTTAGGTAGTTGCGGGAACAGAAAATGCATGTGATTAACATAACCTCCTATGGTACCCTCTTGCCTTTCTGATTGAGAAAAGTCTTTAGCCAGAAAAAGTAAATGGAGAGGGATAACCTTCTTTCTATATCAGAGTAGTAATCATGGATTAGGGAGAAGGGAAAGAGTTGCCAACCCTTACGGGAATCGAACCCGTGTCTTCGACGAAAGGGCAACCACCTATCCCCACCATATCAGACCAACACGCCTCTGGTTTTGTTTTGTTGCATGGAATCTCCCCTCTCTCTATATCGGACAAGCAAGCACCAGCAAGGACCTTTCTTCTTACTAGTTGCCGATACGGATTCATTCCTGTTGGGATTGCTCCTTTAGGTATCGATGAGGTAATTCCCCGCTCAGGTAAGGAGGCGAGGCTCGCTGATTTAGAGTTTTTGAATCCTATCTCTCTCGTTCTGTATTATTATTATAACGGGGCATTGGCTAGGCTCCATCCTAAGCTTAAGCCAGCCAGCCCTCCTTCTATCCCATTCAGTGAATCAGCCCCGGATTTGAAGAAATCTGGTTAGTCAGAAGGCCGTGCTTGGCTAAGGCTAACTAGGACGAGAAAGGCAGAAAAAGTCCCTAATTCGATTGATCTTTATTTTGCCCATGTTGCTCTTCTTCAATTAGGATTCCTCTATTTGGTGATTGTCTTTCGTAATAGATCGTGAAGAGTGGGTATAAATCCAACTTCGATCCTAGCTCTATTAGCTTTTGTTAATAAAAAGAAAGAAAAGGCCTAGAACACGGGCTATACTGGGTTGAAAGACCGCTGCTAATCCCGATCATTACATTCTCTTTCCTATTCATCTTTTCAGCAACCAATCTCCAACTCGGAAAAGGAGGCTCTGACAGTTGACTAGGTTGGTTGCGTGAATCAACGCTTGTGCCAATCCCCGCCTCTCGAGGATGTCATACCCCGCTTTCAGCCGTAAAGTAGTTGATCTAAAGCGAGTGAGCCTAAGCCCGGTAGAGAGGAGGGTGTGTGGATGGCAGCTAGGCAAGGGTATGAAGTAGTTCGACCAAAGAGAGTGCAAATCCTTCAAAGGGTCAGAGAAGCATCCTATCCTAAGCCCTTCCTTCTGGGGCTCCTCCTTCTTATAAAACGGGTTCAAGGGCCCTCTCTACTCCTCTGGCTATTATCGACTCGGAAATGAACGAAGTCGCTTCACTTCAAAGTAGAGGTTTGGGGTAAAGGTGGACTGACAGATCAGCTCCAAGGCCTGAGTGCCTAGGTTGCAGTGGTCAGAGTCGCTTCCGATGAGTTCCAGCTGCCAGAGTCTTCGATAAGAAAGAGGAGTCTGAGTAAACAGAAGTGAGATCTTTCTTCTTTCACTAGGTATGAATCAGACGGTGAGAAGATCTAGCAATGCTACATAACGTAGTGAGAGGGGGAGCTTCCTTAGCTGATAGCAAGCTCATTGAAAGCGAGTATTAATAGCTAAGCATCTAGTGTTAGCAGCGAGTCAGCAAAGTGGATTGGATGCAGGTAAGCAGATTATGCTTTACTAGAAAAGAAGATAGCAAAGCTCTACTGTTAAAGTATAGTGCTGAGTTATGAATGAACCCTGATAGGAGATAGCAGTCAGGGGCGATCCGGACCTGGACTAATAGCCTTAAAATGAATGGCAATTAGTTGAGTTAGTAGCCAACCTAAATCTAAAGAAGGTAGGGGGACAGTCTCAAATTCCTCGTCATACTGATCTGAAGGAAGCGGGGCAAGTAGTTCATTTCTAAAGCCCTTGGTCGTCCCCAGTGCTTGGGCTCCGATGCAGAATAAGCAGTATTGGTGCCTGGGGCAATAGGAAAAGGCGTAAGCGCGGTCGTAGTCTCACCCGATCGGATCATAAGACCTATCCACTTTGAGTGCACCAATAAGATGGCGGAGTACGAGGCATGCATCGCAGGGCTGAGAGCAGCTCTTTAGCTCAAATTCACGCATCTCGATGTCTTCGGTGATTCTCTCCTCATCATTAATCAGACCCTGACTAGACGGAATGAGAAAGAAGATTAAAGATGCAAAGTGGGTGCCCTATCACAAGTGTCACAAGTCTATGATGGAACTGGTAGAAAAGTTTGACATTTGAATGAAGCGGATATGAAGAACTAGTCTTGGCGAGAGGGAAGAGTTTGATTCCTTAAGAAAGGGGCGATAAAGGTAAAAAGATTTGAGGCAGTGACCGAATGTTCAAGTAAAGATGTCAGATCGAAAGCCTCCGGAATTGGATAAGAGGTGAGGTTCACCTGTCACCCTAGTGGGAAAAGAAGGAGGAGTTTATTCGCTCCAGCTCCAGTAGCAGTGGTAGGGCTTCAGCCACTCAAGTGAATAGGAAGAGGAGATAAGAAAGGCAGGATTGGATTACAATGAACTCGAATCCCTTCTTTAAAAGAGTGTATTCCCTTTACTTAAGAGCTAACGGTGCGGTGCCAATTGGCTGGGAAGCGAAGAAAGAACGTAAGCACGCCAGTGGATGTCTTTCGCATGTTGCCATTCAAGAGGTGAAAGTAGACTTTCTTTATTAAATTTCTTTATTAAAAGAGTCCTTGTCACGAATGAGAGCTAATCCGTCAGTCCATCTGGACATTCTAAATGCTCGAACTGAGACTTTAGATCAATATAAAATACCCCCTCGCACAAAGTCTTAGCGAACTAAAAGACCCAATATGAGTTGTCTAGAGCCTCGTCCTAAAGGGGAGCTGCAGTTAGCACTTTACTTTTTGAATTTTCTGGCATAAGAGGGCTTTTCTCTTTGCTCTTTTAGCGGAATAAGAGCAGTTGGTAAGATTTTTATATAGGTAAGAAAGAATCAAATTTCCCTAGTATCAGGAAAGAGGGTGCACATTCATAGGCCAATCTGTTTTCTTGCCCGTTCTAACTGTTAAAAGGTATGAAAGACGCCTATTCTTCAGGCAAGGAGCGCTTCCTATATAGAATATGTCCGAACTTCTTTCCCCGTACCGGACCGCAGCAGCTAAAGGACGTGCCACTGGTTCCGCGTCCGCGCGAGGATCTTTTTTTTTTTTCTATGAGCGCGTTCTCCTCTTTTGAAAGAAAGATGTAAAGTGTGGTCTTCTCGTCACTCTTCGGGATGCTAAATAAATAGTCGGTCTTGATTCGATTCTTCCATGGGATATGGGTTTACATGGCGGGACTCCCAACTTATTGAATAGGTGACTTCCGATCAAAAATGGTCGAGGAATAGGCCTTGGCAACAGCAAGCCTTTCTCCTTTCTTTTCCTTTCTTTCTTCCACATGACTACTCGAGGGTTCCAAAAAAGGGTAGTGTGAGGCTAGCAAATGTCGTCTTACGATCATGATACTCGGAGCCTTAAGTGAGCTCCCGCTAGGCTAGGTTAGGTGTAGCAACCTGACGACACGAAAGGTTTCGAATAAGCAAAAGAGAATGCCAAGGTCGGAATAAGCGCAGTTGGAAGCAGGGCTACTAGAAGCTCATATCCGGCTATCTCCGACATTTACCAGGCGATCGGAATGCAAAAGTATCTTCCCACGGTAATATCAGATAAAGGTGGTAGGCTAAGCCCAAAACCCCAGCTTTCTTGAAAGGAGAGCGTCGACCCGCTATGAAGGGAAAAGGAATTTATGCCAAAAAGACCTACTTTCCTCGTGTTAGCTGGCGATAGCGACTTCGTACCTGGTTCTGCCTCAGCCAAGTCTTTCTATTCTAAGATTCGATTTCTTTTAAGAGAAGCAAATCCTTCTCTCACTACTTCGGGACAGGATTTAACTCGGCAATAAGCTAATTGATTTAGTACGTTTAGCCTGGAACTATTAAACCTTACCCGATGACATGACTTTCGGACTGTCTTTCTTGCTTGACTACTTGAAAACTCTCCTAGGATTCGAACAACTCTTGTCGACTCTGAACGAATGCTTAGTGGCGAAGAAGAATCATCGATCGAAGAAGAACTGGTTGGGAGCGACGGAACTTACTAATTAACTGATTGAACTTCTTTAGGGGTGAAAAGAATCACCAGTTGATGCGGAAGAAGCAGTCTTAGCATGGTTTTGCCCAGAAATCAAAGAAGTAAGTTCACGCATTGGCAAACAGACTTAGAAAGAGTAGGGAAAGGAAGTGGAAGACTCAGAAAGTAGGAAATCAAAGTCACTTCACTCCGATTGACCAAAGGAAAGTCAGAACTGAACTGCAAATAGCGAGAGAGAGAGGGAAAAACCCTAGCCAACTATCTTTCCCTTGCTGGTGTTTGCTTGTTTTCGGGAATTGAATCAATAGTCGACAGTACACCCACGTGTATGATTTTCGGTATGAGTCGGGAGCCAGTAGAACTATCGGGGGAATTGTACTGAATACGGTTCGTATTGGAATTAGTCGGAGTAGTCATAGAGGAAATGGATTTTAGCTTAGCTAAAGAAGAATTTGCTATGCTGCTTTATTTCATCATATGGTTTAGAGCTAGACTCAGTTATTTCATTAGCCAATAAATAGTAGTTTTATACTTTATTAGTCTATATCCCCTAATATAGCGCATATCTACATCTACTCTAAATAGCGCATCTACTCTCTTCGGTCTAGGCTCCAATATAAGGTAAGGATCTCAAGGGCGCTTGACCAATAGCCCTTCTCTATCTCCTGCTGATGCTAAGGTTAGCTGCTCTGCCCTTTCCTGGAATCACTCTCTATGGGCTAGTAAGAAGGGGCGTGTTCAAGCTCTCCTCTAGATGGAAGCTGAAAGAGTGTCTCAAATAGACTTTCTTTTCGACCAGAATTAAACTTTCTTTAGATCGCAAGTCAGTCTCTTAGAGTCCTTTCCTTAGTAGCAGGATCCTATCATAGGCGCACTCAGTTGAGTCTAGTTCAGGAGTGAAGGAAGGCTCCAAGTCAGTTTATTCAAGCACTGGGAATCAATCGCTTTTGCAGACAAAGAAAGTATTGCGAACAAAGTCAGACAGATGGTCTTTCAAAATAACCTAAATGCACCAGTCCATAACTTTTCCAACCAAGAAAATAAATGCTTCTAAAGTTAACTTTGTTCGCTCCTCGGTTCAAGAAAGAAGAAGAAGTCGGATACGAGGTCAAGAGGAGGAGATCGACTGGCAATAATTGGAGTTAGGTTCCGTCTTTGGCGTAGCCTTTCTTCGAACCTGTCTTTTCAGTGGTCAAGGCGGTATGTCGATCATTCTAATGAAAACTTCTCCCTGATCCAATTTATGCCCGAGGACAGGGGAGAAGCGCTCTTCTGCTAGCTTCTGACTGCAAGACATAAAGTGAAAGCCCCATCAAGAGCCGTTCAAGAGTCCGTATGCTTTCAATCATCAATCGGTACACCACTTTAAAGTCATAGTTAGTTTTTTACATCCGATCAAGCAGCTGAAGGAAGCACAGCTTAACAGCCAGCACAAACTTGAATGAAGCCAGTCGATGTAGCGCCTTATGCCTCTACGGATCTCGATTAGCCTCTTCCACTTACTCCGCGCCTTGGGGAGCGGAGAATGCCTTCATGGACTGGGGTGAAAAGAAGGACAAACCCCCCCCGGACGTACTCATGGGCAGCGTGAGGAACCGAGTAACCAAAAGTCACGATCAGAATGAAAGGTAGTTAGGCTGGGGAAGAAGAATTAAGACAAGCTAACCATGGATTTCTTATTTCTAAACTAGCCCCGAAATCAGACAACTATTTCTAAAAAGTAAGCTAGAACTTGCTTGCCTTTCTTCGACTTCCTCCCCTCCTCTGTCCTAACCAAGAAGCTATAAAGAGGTTACTAAATGAGACTTCCCTCTAGGCTCATTAGAGGTTAGAGGAAGCTTTCATTGAGTGCTTCTACCTCTCATACCTTAGATCTAAGGGCGCAAAAGACTGACTAGCCTCAGTCTCTGTATAACAACATACATCTATATGAGAACTTCACTCCAATAGACTGAGCTATCTGATTTAGACAACTAACTAGGACATCAAAAGCTATGTTAGCTTACAACCTATACAACACTCTAGAGGGCTATGGGCCAGTTTCCCTCATAAAGAAATGCACCACTTCCACAGACTGGACTACCAGATGGAAGATCATAGGATAGGATATTTCACCTTCTCCGACATAGACCATTTCGAATGATAGCGGAATGACTCAAGGCTAAGGCATTGGGCCAAGCAGCAAGAATCAGAACATAGGGCTATGGTGCTACACCCGGAAGAAAGCTCGATCTGATACCCTTACTTTCGACTTGTCCTACTTGTTGGCTACGTTCAGCAGCTACAGACTTTCGAGTTCGGATTAGTTGATGGCTTGGTTTGAGCTTGGTGCACGGTTTCATGAGGTATTCAGGGGCGTGCTTATTTCAGAGACTGAGTTATCAGCAAAACGTCGGGATGCTAGGAAACTTCCAGTATATCCTTCTTAGTCTTTGGTTACCCATGTGAACCTACAGGACATGTTGGCAAAGAAAACGCCAAGTGGCAAGTGGTGAGGGGTAAGCACGCTAGCCTAGAGGAGCACAGTGGTCAGTGACAGCCACGCGAGACGAGATTGGGTGGTGCATTTGGAGATAAAAAAGTTCTCTTTTTATGGGCAGAGGTATAGCTAAAAAGTCTAATTCGCTGTGACTAAGGATAGGATAGAAAGGACTCTCGGTTCGTCTGAGCCTGAGTCGAAGACTTCGGATCCTGCATCTGCTTCAGTTAATTAGGTGAAAATGTGCCTTAAATGGTGTTTTGATCCTAATCCTAGCTAGTCATCATCCGCATTCAACAACTTTCTGAGACACCATTCTTTCCATAGGCAACAAAAGGGCCAGCCCGAAAATAAACGGGATCTTTCTACAAGCTCAGTTTCTACCCAAGTTTTTCCGAGAGAACCGAGGGGAGTGTGCTGATAAAACTCAAACTCGTCTCCGCTCATTTTACCTGGAAATTGAAAGAAATTTGTGTACCTTACCCACATCATCTGAGATGAAGGAATTTCCTACTTAAGATTCGGATGCCTATGTTGCTGCTGATGTGGAGAAATTTGTACCAGCCTACTCGTGATGTTCCTTGCCGGGTTCGCTATAGGAAGTGCTTTCAGCAACAAAAAGGGGGAGGGTAGGGAATTCGATGAATCTGAAGCAACTGGCCGCTAAGGGGGCGTTAAGCGTTCATCCATTGATTATATTTTTACCATATAACTACATAAGAAAACTAAGGAAGCCCGAGCTAGATTATTAATCATCTCCGTTGGAATTTCCATCAAGATGATGTCTATATGCTGACCTTTTCTCGTTGACGCGTATAAATTTGTAAAGGTAAAGACTACTTACTGCTCAAGCTAGAGAAGCTGTAGGACTGGAAAGACTTTATCTTTTCTTTTGTAGCCTATACCTCCCTTGCCTGAAAGCTTAGCTTCTCTATGATTACTTTTGCTCCATAATCTGCGATTGGTTCCATGGATGCATTGGATTCAAGGGATCGCTATATCAATTTAGCAACTGCTTTAATAGAGGTCAAGTCCTTGAGAATTCTAGTTGGAAGATCCATTGGTCGGATAGGGGTTCTCCCTGATCCTTCTATCAATCAAACGGATCCCTAGGATCCACCGATATTGAAAGAGAGGGGGCACTAGGGCTTGGTTGCATTCTGAGCTTCTCAGGATCTCTAGTAAGCGATAAAATCTCAATCATTTCCAGTCAATGAGGAGCGTAGCAGCTCGACCAGAGTGAGAGGAGCCGTATTGAGACCCATTTTGTTCTATCTTCCATGTCTTCCCTTCCTCGGATCGGCAATTAGTTTTTTAAGGAAATACCTTAAGATCCATAGCCAAGATATGGTTGGGAATAGGCCAAGGTAGTTCTATCTCTTCGATGGGCTTTCCTTATAAGTTTGATTTTGTGGTTGACGAATTATCTCCATAATCTAAAATAAAGCCTTCTGCTACTCGAATTGGGTCGACCAGGCCAGGTCGTCCTCTGCAGATTTTCTTTTCCGTGCCCACTCCTGGTTCTTTTATCAAACCAGACACTTCATACCTAAAATATTATCTCTACAGAAAGCATTCAACCAAGACATCTCTCCTCCGGATTAGACCAGGTGAAAGTTTTCAATTCAACCTTCTCAACCTGAAAAGAGCTAAGCCCGTCTTCCTGCCTCTTCTCTTATCCTTCTAGGCAGGCTTCCAGGGGAAAATCTCTTGACCCAGACTCTTTCACTCCAGGCCTTGCTTTGTTTACCTGTCCTATCGTATCGAATACGAATAAGGTTTCCCAGCCTAGCCTATCTTGGTTGGTGTCTGCTACCGAACCGAAAGAGAGAATCGGTCTAAGGGCAGCTCAAAACCAGCCCAACCTCTTCCGATTCCGATTCATGGTCACATCCTCTTTTCCGACGCTTTTCATGTTGTTGCATGTGCCTTATGGTATCCAGATCCAGTCCTCTCTGCTTCCTATGATTTAAGTGAAGATCCGCAATAGACTGTCTGCTTTCCTTACTCTAACAAGTAAGCAAGTAAACTACCTTGGTAAGATAATAAATAAGGAATTTTTAATAGAACTGGGGACTAGAGGCCTCTCCGATTGAGAGGATAAAGTTTGTGATTTGTGATTCAACAACCAAACCAGTTGTTAGAGCTGGGTAGGATAGGCAATCAACATGATTGGTCCCGTCCCAGTTTAAGTAGTTGGATGTGAGTGCGTCGGATAAGCGAAAGCAAGCAGTAGATCGAGAAAAGAAAGAATACAGATTGCAAGCTACAGATGAAGAATCCGCTTCATTGTTCCCACCATCTATCTCATCCAAGAATATTGTATAATAAGAATAGGAATCAATCGTTCAGTGATCGCTACGCTTGATTGGGGCAGGCTACCCACACCACACTGTTTTGGCTAAAAAGCCATCTCCTTGCTGTTCCTCATTATCACCTACTCCAAACACGAAAGTAAAGAAAAAAAAAATCTGTCTACATAGCTCCCCTTTGAAGGTGGACGGGGATCGTACGTCAGCAACAAAAAGGCCTTAGACCGGAGCGCGTCCCTGCAGGTGAATCTCTCAGCTTCTCTTATTTCTACCTGAGATCCGCATCAAAGCACAAGGAGAGAGAGTAGGGTGTTAGGGAGGAGAAAGAGAGAGCTGGAGATGAGCTGCTAGGCAATGAAGGCTAGTCATCCCCGATGGTCTTCCCAAAGAAGAGCTTGATGTATGTCCGTATGAAAGAAACTTGAAGCGCGGGAACTCCGATCGATTAAGGAGAAAAAAACTTTCTTCTTCCGATTCCGAATCAGGGACGGAAGGCACAGTAGCGTTAGAACAAGAGAAAGAAGCAAGTCAAGCCGACTTCAAATCAAAGTTGTTTGGATTGAAAAGGTTTGGAGCAGCTCAAACGAGGAAGCGGAAACTTCTTGATCTACGCCATTGGGCGATCTCTCTTTTGGTCCGGTGGAAGTCAAAGTGGAAGGCGAGTCAGCAAACGAACCCAAAATGGAGCTAGACGCCAGTCGCTCCCGGGGGAAGCTCAGGCAAAAGAAAAGGAGAAGTCAGGGTCTTGTACTAGTAGCTTCATCCCGTAACCCCTCAAGAAAGCTCTTCAAGCCCTTGTTCCGTTCCAGCTGTAGGCATCCACGCTGGATACTTCCTTTTCTATTGTCAGATATGGATTGTAAACAGCTATAAAATAGCAAGCCATGAAGCCAACTGCCCTTCATTCTATTAGGGAGTTGGAATAGCTGGATTTCAAGGTGAGAAAAAGGACCGTCCCAGACCTATCAGGAAAGGGGAAAGCAACGAGAATCTTTCTACCTTCACGGGTGAACCTGGAAATAAAGATACTTGCATTTCCCTTCACTCATGCGAGCAACGGGGCGAAGAGTCACGAGCTCTTCATGGATAGAAGATAAAGATCTGGGTAAACCTCATCAATTCCATTCTATGCCGGGGCGGTGCCATCATTTCTCCCCTACAATAAGGAAGGATTTCTTAAGGGGAATGATGAAAGAGGCTTGGTATTCAGTATCAAGAACTCACGAAGCCACTTTCGAAGGGAAAGTCAGGCCTTCTTTAGTTGTGCTGGCTTTATGAGCTTCTCTTCTATTGCGTAAACGAAAGGTGTCTTGCCGCGTATGAATTGACCGATTGGCATTTCTTTAGACGCTGGTTAGATAGGGGACGACCAGTAGACTAGTGCTTTTTTTCTTTAAGCCGGTAAGGTAATCCGGTGTCAGATCCATGTCGAAACGAATACGTAAAAGGAGAGACCGTAGCTTACTCGAAAGGGAGTCCCACCTAACAGTATGCTTCGCTTCAAGTGGAAGGATCGCTAGTTCCTATCATCTGTCTTTCTGTATTAAATTAAAGACAAATCAGTTCTATTTCTATCGCTCGGGCACTCGGGTTAGGGCGAGTCTCTCCCTTATTTATTGTCGGATTGCGAAAAGCTACCCCTTTCGCTAATAAGACATGGACCAAATAGCATCCCCTGTTGATATTGGATATTGATAGGCTGACAACTCACACGCGGGTAGTAGTTTTAGATACTATTAAACAGTAAATTGCCCATATGCAAAGAATTAATGGTCAAGAAGTCACTTACCTTAGGGCAACTTGTCCTATTCCTTATACTCTTTCTCTTTTCTCGAGACAATAGAAGTAATCGTCTTCAAAATCTGAGATGGCTTAGTCCCTTTCAAACATACTATATTAATTAACATTCGTCAATCTCCGACAGGTACCCGGCAGTAGCCGACATTGATTCCTTTTAGTAGACGTAAGAAAGGCGAATCCCATGAGGCTGTTCGTGAGCAGAGAATTGCCGGTAGGACCAATGTTGAGGACTCATTCATTCGACTAAGAATCATAGTAAACACCTTATTGGGATGTATTCTTTGGCAAAGTCCCTTCCTGATTTGACCCCGAAGGATGTCCCTCTTTAGTTTAAGGCTTATCCCTTTCAGTATAGAGTATAGCAAGGCCGTACCTGGTACTATCATTCGAAGATTTGAAAAGCCTTAGTTCCATTTCCCTTATTCACTAGAACGGATGTAAATTGTATTTCTTAGTCACCCCTATCTATTGAGTCATTTATTCCCAGACTTTTGAGAATCTGTCGTAAACCCCAGCGGTACCATCTCCTCTTGGTCTAGCCACCGGCTTCCCTTTCAAGAAAGTATTCCATTCTACACCTTTACCTTTCTTTCCTAACAGAATTACTCCCTCCTACTCCTACCTTGCTTAACTAAGGCTTTCTCATGCTTTGAATGCCGGCCTATTTAGGGGTCCACGGCCGTCTAAATCGACAGAGACCTGTACCTCATTCTCAGCACCCCTTAAAGTCTCGGGCTATTTCGCCCTTAGCTCGGCGTTCATCTTTCCGGTCTAGCTCAACGATGAGCTCTTTAGATGTTCAGTCTGTTCGGACGGATATGACGTTGCATGTCATCATCATGGGAACCTCATCATCGCTGCTATCCTCGGGTCTTTTTTTCAGATATCCGTCTGCAGGCTTAGAGCTTTGCCACCAATGAATTAATTAATTATCATAAATTAATTATAATGGCTTAATTGGTTTTGCTTTGGACTCTGCTCTCACTAACGTCGTAGAAAGCCATTCTTCAAGCGAGTCATCCAAGCAATATGTGTTAATGTACTCTTTCTGTACCCCGATACCTATTGAGGAGCAAATCCCTGCACTCTCGTAGTAAATTATCCTTTCCTCCTCTTCCTGCTGAACCAATGAGCTCCAATCGGGCGCCTTTACTTTATCTAAATCTAACAACTATTGAACCATCTCACCGGAAAGTCACTCGCTACCTTAACTAAAGGCATGCCTTTACTCCAACAGCTGGACTCTTGCTTTCTAAAGACTTGAGCAGAGATCTTCTAGTTGAAGAAAAGACCACCAGTAGTTTGCCACATTTGCTGATGAAAGAACAGCAAGAACGGGTTTTTGAAAGACAAATGCAAAATGCAAAGAAAGCAGAAGATGCGGCTTAGCCAGCTTGCTCTAGTCCCGTACGATAAGGATGAGAAAGGGCCAAGGAGAGAGGAGGAAATAGCGAAATATAGGGCATCAGTTTAGCTCTTACTGTTCGAGAATCCCCTGTTTAGAAAGAATCTTCTGTTCTTATTTGAGAAGAAGTGGGCAAATCTGCTTTGGCATGAAGAGAGGATGCATAGGATTTATGGCTAGTAATCAGTGAAATTACTTTGCAGCGTAAACGGTCTTAGCATGGTTAGCACTTCCCTGTTGATGCGTAGGCTATTTGATTTGAACTAATCCGAATCTGAAGAACAGGAGGTATATAAGAAAAGGGTATTTAGGCCATCCCGAGAGAGGAACAAATGGCACATTTTTAGATTTAGATAAATAGTAGAAAAATATCCCCAATAATGGCAAAACGGAAAGCTACTCTTGCTTGTCAGGACCTTTATTACCGAGAAAGAGTGTCTGCTGTTCTGTTTTCAATCGAATCCGCAGTTATCTTTGCTCATTGGGTGGAATAATAGGCGAAGGAATCCTTTCTATTGAATAAGGGCTTTGAGAAGCAGGCCATTCCTTTCCAGTTAGCACTAGTAATACCGTATCCCGCTTTTCCTTCTTATTGATAGCAAAGGGGGGTATTATTTGCGTGCTTAAGCCGGCAAGATCCGAGATCAGACCTAGTCCTGCTTACCCGCTACCCTTTA